CCCCAAAGGCCATGGTCCTACCCTTCCAGGCTGAGGCAGCTCTGCTTCATTTCTTTGGTCTCTCCGCTTCTGCTAATTAATGCCAAAGGCAACCCACTCCTCTGGAAATCTTCCTGTCCCCAAAGCATTCATCTTTCTTGCACCATGGGCCAGCCAACCTACTACTCCATTTCATGCTGGTCTTTTCTACCAATTAATGCCTGAAGGCAACCCATTCCACCAGCAAGCTGCCTAACCAAAGGCATCAAGCTTTCTCCTCTGTGGGCTGGTAAGGCTGTTGCTGTCTCATGCCAGTTCTCTTGGCTCTGCTACTGCCATCTCTCATGCAGGTCTTTTGCTCTGCTCCTGCCATCTGTCGCGCCATATGCTGGGGTCTCTCTGCCAGGGTCTTGGGCCAAGGATGCACTCCACTCCTGTTTCCACATTTTAGGTATCTATGAGAGCAGCATCCTTCTCTCTCGGTACCAAATTCTGTTCTGGTTAGCTAGTGCTGCTCTGACAAGAATATACCACAAATGGGATGGCTTGAACAGTTTATTCTCTTACAGTTTGGAAGGCTAGAAGTCCAAGTTCAGAGTGCCAGGCTCTAGGGGCTGGGTGAAAGCCTCTTGACCTTGGGCTTCAGCTCTGCCTCTTGCTCCTGGCCCACTGAAGCCATAGGCATCTCTTCACTCAGGCAGCTGCTGGCTGCTGAGGCTAACAAGCCCAAGGTCGACAAATAAAATGGCAGAGTCCCGATGTTACCAAACCACATGGCAGGCCATTAATTCAAGTCCATTGTAAGTCCCAAGGTTGGCAGAGCATGGCAGGCTGCTGAACAATGACTTGGTTACGTGCATGGTCCAAGTGTGCCATAATCTAGAGACCGTTCCCCAAGGCTTTTCCTTATATACAGGAAGCAGATCACATCCCTAAAGCAGCTACATAGCTGCTCACAGTAGATTCCACCATGGAGATGATTACCAGTCTCATTATGGGGAATGCTACATTCAGCTGCCCAGCCATTGAACCAGGCCCAGCCAAGTTGACACACAAACTGAACTACCACATGCAGTATGTTACACCAGTTGAGCTTGATGTCCCCTGAGACCATGGCCCCAAGCCCAGAGGTCCAGTTACTTGCTCCCTCTGGGTAGCTTGCTGTGGCCAAGAAGTCACCACAATCTTGTCCCTTGTCAGCTCTACTTTGTACCTGGATATTCTTATAGAACATACAAATACACTTGTAGAAACATCATCTGCCAACCCTATACATGGTCAGGGGCACACTGGCTCCTGCCTAGACATACCTGATCATTCAGCCTGTCCACCCATCTATCCACCTGTAGATCAATGTATGCTATTACTGACAACGCAGTACTGTATGTGCACAAGGGTTCATTGTTGTTGTCTGTATCTCCCATGTACCTCTCTAGGTCTTCCTCTTCCTCAGTGCCACTGTATTGATCACTCACATTGGTGCATTGCCCTTCCCTTCATGCAAATCAATGCTTTTCTCTACCTATCTAGCAGTGCCCCCTCCCCTCCCACCCTTGGTAACCAACAAAGAAAGTTTTGTTCCATATATAAACCTTTCCTTGACTTTTCATAATAGTGGATTAATACAGTATTTGTCCTTCTGTAATTGACTTATTTCACTCAGCATAGTGTCCTCCAAGTTCATCCACATTATGCAGTGTTTTGCAGATTCTATGTTATTCTTTAGGGTTGCATTGTATTCCATTGTATATATGTACCATAGTTTGGTTATCCGTTCTTCTGTTGATGGGCACCTAGGTTGTTTCTATCTTTTTGCTATTGTAAATAGTGCTGCAGTGAACATGATTGTGCATGTTATCTGTTCTTGTCCTGGTTCTCACTTCTTTAGTTATCTATTTATTTTAATAAAGAAGATTTCCTCTAGACTATCCAAGTTCAAGTAAAATTATGTTCTAAGATGGTTCCATGGGTTTGTTATCATCCTCCTAGGACTCCAGTTTGAAAATGACAGACTGGGTAGTCTAAAGCTCTTTCCAGGATCAAATAAATGCTCTATTAAACTGTTCTTTACTTTTTAACCAGGCATGAGGTTAAGGCCTAGATGGATCTGGAAATGCAGACTATCCCTGTGGTCTGAAAAAACTGGGGAGAGAAGATACATTTTATATCCATGAAATGACATTCTCAAGTTCTTTTGCTTAAGTAATAATTTATGCTGTTAACTGATGTTTTAAGTCTTTGACCAGAACACACAGTAAATATGAAATCCTACATTATGTCCTGAAAGCATGTGTGCACACGTGTGGGCCTGTGGTTGTATGTAATTGAAGCAATACTTAATCTTAGGCTGGTGTACTCTCACATTTTTCTGTTCTATTTTATTCTATGCAGTTTCTTTCTTGTTCTGTTTATTGTGTTTAAAAAATATGATGTGTTCAGTGAGATTTTTTTCTGCTTTACTTGAAAACATCCTAAAGAAATTAAGGAAATGTGGAAATGTGTTTTGACCGATTATTGACGTTAAAAGTACCTTTTATTTTTGACCTTTTTAGGTGTCTTATGTCACCCTGTCCACCCGAGAGACTTTTTCAAAGGTTGGTCGAGAGCTTTTAGGAGCCATCACAGCTGTTCACCCTGAGATCATTTCGGTCCTTTTGGATAGAGTTCAGGAGACCATTGATCAGGTGGGAATGGTAAGAGAACTGATGATTTGTTTTTGTTTTTTTAAATCCTGAGGTAATGGAATAATGGAAAAGTAGGAAAGTTGTTGGGAATGACTGGTCACTTAAGGCCCAGCAGGATGAAGGAACACTTCCTGTGTACCAGGCTCTGTGCCATCCGCCCTGCCTACTTGGGGTGAGTGGCTTCTTTTAAAGAACAGTGAGTTGTGTACCTCAAAGCCACTCATAGTTGACTTTTCCAATTCTGCATAACAATTTAGTTAAATTATAACCTTTCTTCATTGACAGTTGTCATTTCACAACTTTGTTTGGCTTTCATGATTCTTATATTTTATACTACGAAGAAACAGCTTCAATTAAGAAAGAAGGCCTTATTTAAATGAGTCAAAAACAAAATTAAAAGTAGTAATTTAAGTAGAGCAAGACACAGTCATAATTTATTTCTGTCATTTGTCACAATCCCGTTTGTAGTCTTTATATATTTTTAAATCAGCTTTATGAGATATAATTTACATACCATACAACTGACTCATTTAAAGCATATATATAATTCAGTGGTTTTTAGTATGTTCACAGATATGTGCTGCTGTCACCACAGTCAAATTTAGAGCATTTTTATCAACTCTTAAAGCACCCCATGCCCTTTGGCTATCATTTCTCTGTTTCATCCTCCCAGCCCTAAGTAACCACTATAATCTACTTTCTGTCTGTGGATTTGTCATTTCACTTGTCTAAAAATCAAACAAAACTCCACTTCCTTTTGGGGAAAAATTTTTCTAAACGCTTTAGTAACTGCTAACCAGAAGGCTGGCAGTTCAAACCTGCTAGCCACTCCTTGGAAGGAAGATTGGGCAATCTACTTCCGTAGAGATACCGCCTTGGAAACCCAAGGAGGGGTCGCTATAAGTTGGATCTGACTCGATAGCAGTGAGTTTTTTTTTTTTTTTTTCCAGTAATGTAGTATTATAGTGATATAAGATTGTCCCTAAGTCTTGAATTTAATTATCATTTTCTTTTTAATAAGGTTTCTTTATACTTGTTTAAAGAATTGCCTTTGTATCTTTGGCGACCTTCTACCTCTGAGATAGCTGTAATTCGGGATTGGCTATTGAATTATAACCTCACAGCGGTGAAGAATAAACTGGCCTGTGTTATTCTAGAAGGACTGAATTGGGGATTTGGTGAACAGGTATGTGTTGAAATCATTTCCTACAGACTATAGGTTCTACACAAATCAATTTCAAAGAAGCATTTTCTCAAAACAGTGTGTTTCACATTGTCATTTGCAAGGTCTGTAAATTCTTTTAGCTGTATCACAGTTCAGGATCTTTAATTTTGTTTTGCAAAGTGGGCGTTCTCTTAAATGAAGATAAATTGTCCCACACTGCAAATTCTTCCGCCTGTCCTTGGACCGCTTGCATCTGTGGTTTCATATCTGGCTGTTGATGCACTTCCCGCTCTCTGTCCCTCCTGCTTCTGGTTCCTTTTTCTTCTGCAGTTTGTCTTGTACTTCATTGTTGGGCTTGCTTCTGATGTACTGCACATTGGTGAAGAGCCCGAGTGCTGAGCCAGGCTGCCTGGGTTCTGGTCCTGGCTCTGCCACCTCCCAGCCATGTGAGCCTGAGCAAGCTTTCTGAACTCTCTGAGCCTCAGTTGTTCATCTGTGAATGTTGATATTGGTGGGATCTACCTCATAGGCTTGTTGGAAGGATTCAGAAAGTCTGGACAAGTAAAGCAATTAGCATAGTACTCGGCACACGTTAGGTACTCAGTAATGATAGTTATTAAAGGATGGGAAATTTGGTAGCAGTTTCAGCTTATGTTGTTGAACACTTATTTTGTTTAATTTATTAAACATCTTCTTGGCTTGTAGTAATGTCTTTAACTGACAACCGTGACCAAGGCTCAAACCTATCTAGGTGCAGTATAAAGGTTCTTTAAAGATTTCTGTTTTTCCCTTGTCATTTTATAATGTCATTGTTCAGGGGTGTGATTTTTCGAAAACTTAGGTTCTGTATCCAAAGTCATCTTTTACTGTGTTGACCAATCTTTTGGTCCAAAGGTCCAGAAAACCCAGTGTGGTTTACTTGTGGTTATTTTTCTTTTTCAAAGGGTGTCCTTCATCTGAATCAAGCCGTCCATGCTGAAGTGGCTCTAATGGTCCTTGAGGCCTACCAGAAGTACCTTGCACAGAAGCCATATGCTGGGCTTCTTTCTGAAAGTATGAAGCAGGTATTGCCCTCTTTTATGTATTGAGAGTAAATCTTTATTGATAAACGTCCTGAGTGGATAAAGTATTGACCCTTAGATTTCCTAAGACCATTTCTGGCAATTTAAGATGTTGAAATTGAGTTCTGTAATTGACAAGGCTTTTTCTTTAAGAAGTAGACTTTGTATGACTATGTTCCTATTATAGAATTTGTGTCCAGGTACAGTGGCTTTTGGGAGCTGGCTTGTCCTGGCTTACAAGAACTGATTGTTCAATTTTGGGGAGCTTTAAAAGCTGGTTATTAAACTGTTGATAGCTTGAAATTGGCCATGGTGGGAATGTTTACACCACTAGAATTGGCACATGCCCCCACCAACTGGTTGTTGAATATATTTACCACCGGTACACAATTGAATGGGTATCAACTTTTGTATCATTTCCGTTTTCTGTTTTTTGGAAGGTTCACAAAGCGACTAGCAAGTGAAAGTGGTTAGTTGAGAGAAATTGCCTTTTTGTTTGTTGTTTTAAAAATCTTTTGTTGTTGTTGTTGAGGATATATACAGCAAAACATACCAATTGAGAAATTGCTTTAATGCAATGCAGCAAACATTATTTGAGGGCCGGTAAGTAGTGTGTTCCTCTTTTGAGGGCTTTTTGGTCTTAAAAGGAGAGGGGTGGGTGAACTTACTGATCTAATTTATATGTGACTAATGTGGTTTAAAATAAATAATTGTTTTAGGTTTCCTATTTGGCCAGTATTGTTCGCTATGGAGAGACACCTGAGACCTCATTTAACCAATGGGCCTGGAACTTGATTTTGAGGTTAAAACTGCACAGAAATGATTGTGGAATACAGCAGAATTGTCCATCTGTTCCTTTCTCCAGCACTGTCCCTGACATGACAGAGTCACCCACGTTTCATCCTCTCTTAAAGGCTGTCAAAGCAGGCATGCCCATTGGCTGTTATCTCACCTTGTCCATGACAGCTGTGGGCCACAGGTACTGTGTTGAGGTTGAACCTTGGGGGTTGCTGAACCTCCTTGTATGAATTCTGGGATCTCATCTTTCCCATACCACAGGTCTTTGGCTTCCATCAAACCTATCTAGGGATAAGTAAGGCCAAACAATAAAGCTTACTGGCTTGTCAAGTGGAAATGTTGCACTAATTCACACGTACCACCATCTCACCTTATATTACCTTATGATCAGAGTTATATCTGTCACCCAAGGTGGGATGTTCATGTCAGCAGTAGACATATTCTCTTCCTCAGAATCATGATCCCATAAAAAATAATCATGTGTAGTGTTTTTTTGTTTTTTTTAAGTGATTGCAGCCAACTGGTGCTTCTCCACTAAAGAGCTTTTCCTGCCTAGGGGGGTGAAATGCCCATTGAGCTCATGTGCTCTTTGATTTTTATGACTTTTCCCAGAGTTAAAGCTGTATTGCCAAACTGCAGAATTTGGAAAATGAAGAAGCAGCCACTCACTCATACTTCTGTCACTCCTGCTCAGGAAATAAGTACAGCATGGTGTTTTCCTGGGCTTTTTCTCCCTCTGCATACATAAGTCTTCTTTACTAATGGTTTAATCATGAATGTAAATTTTTTGTGTGCTTTTTTCCATCATCATTATAGCATAAATATGTTTCCATGTTGCCCTTGGCCATTATATGTGTCATTTTAAAATGATGAAGCAATGTTCCCACTTGAATGGATTTTCCCAAAATTAACTTTAAATTTCTGCCTCTGAGTTTTGTGATTATGCATAATTCTTACTGCATCTTTATACGGATCAGTCATCTTTCATATTTTTTCCATATTTGAGATTGTCACTTAAGGATAGATCGTCTGAAGTAAGTAAAGTATAAACAAAGTTTTATGCCACTTTCTACTGACAGATTGAGCTAATTTTGAAATCTTCTCTTTGCTATAATACCTTGTGGGGATATCTTGACAAAGACAGCCTGTTGGAAGCACCGTTTGAGAAACAAAATGGAATAGTAACAAGTGTTCTGGACTAAAACTGTGCAAACCTGGTTTCTCCCTAGTTAGTTTGACCGTCAACTAGTCACCTCCTCGTCTCATTTTTCTCATCTGAAAAATGAAAATATAGATGAAATTCTAAGTTCTGTCTTAGTTACCTAGTGCTTCTATAACAGAAATATCACAAGTGGGTAGCTTTGAAAACAGAAATTTATCTTCTCACGGGTTAGGAGGCTAGAGCCCTGCATTCAGGGCGCCAGCCCTAGGGGAAGGCTTTCTCCCCAGTGGCTCCGGAGGAAGGTGTTTATCTCTTTGAACTTCAGCCCCTGGGTGATCGTCATGTGACTTGGCATCCCCCCTGCCCTCCAATCTCTGCTTGCTAGCTTGGATTTACTCTTTTATATCTCAAAACAAGTTGACTCAAGATGCACCCTGCACTTATCTTGTCTCATTAATGTACCAAAGACAATCCATTCCCAGATAGGATTAAACCACACTCATAGAGTTAAAGTTTATAACACATACTTTTTTGGGACACAGTTCAATCTGTAATAAATTCCTTTCTACTTCCAGAGTTCTGATTCTAATATTTCTTTGTGAAAGTTGCCACAAAAATATGTTGGAGACCCGAGGTAATCCACATAGCATGTAAGCTAGGCTGATAGTTTATCACAACGACATCATTCCATGAACTGGCCACGTGGTATGCTCATTGCCCTTCCCTTTTTCTATAGCATTGAGAAGTTCTGTGCGGAAGGCATCCCGCTGTTGGGCATTCTGGTCCAGTCGAGACATTTGAGAACGGTCGTCCACGTTCTGGATAAGATTCTGCCTTTGTTCTACCCTTGCCAGTATTACCTTCTGAAGAATGAGCAGTAAGTATGCTCCGTCTGTGGCAGGGGATTCAGTGATGCCAGTTTTATTGTCATGAAAGCTATGTTCCTTTTTAATTTTGGATTGCTTGTAGTTTATTAGTATTAGAAAATTCTGTTATTTCCTTTAGACTCTAGGAGTGAAAAACCAAAAACCAAACCCACTGCTATCGACTTGATTCTGACTCATAGCAACTCTCATTGGGTTTCTGAGGCAGTAAATCTTTACAGAAGTAGATTGCCCAGTCTTCCTTCTGCAGAGTGGCTG